AATCAATTCAATTCAATTCAATTAATTACCCCCCCACCAATAAATAGATACAAATAGAAATAACCAAACCACATCAACAAAATGCCAATACCAAGCGGCAGCTTCAAACCCGAAATGGTGTCTTCGAGTAAAATGACCCATGTACTGACGAACACAATAGATTGCTTGGGCAGTAATACCTTTTGATTATGGTATGGTACTGTCAGATTTAAATGTAGGTATACTTTACATATTTGCTATTTCGTCTTTAGGTGTCTATGGTATTATAACAGCAGGTTGGTCTAGTAATTCCAAATATGCTTTTCTTTAAGCACAGCGTAAGCAAATTCCACTGTGTCAGGCACGCCACAAAGGTTACTCAGGTTGGAGAGCCGTGTGATGGGCGACCATCTCGCACGGTTCGGAGAGCACTTGTTACGGCTGAATAGAACGTTTTACTACGGTCTATCAGTTTAACTAACTCATACTCATTGCTTCGCTCCTTTGTTTTTTAGTCTAATTTATTAGACACCCAAGAAACATAATCATTGAAAGAGACAGCTTCCACTACAATAGGCATAAAGGCATGATTGGTACCACAAAGTTCACTACATTGACCATAGTAAACAAAAAGTCTCTATATCTCAGCAATTTTTTGTTTATATGTTGTACCCAACTCACTCTTTATGTGGTTGTTTGAATCAATTAACTTAGATTCATTGACTTCAGTCAATGAATTTGAACCCTCAACCTTAGCCTTGGCAAGGCTATACTCTACCATTAAGCTATTTCCGCCATCAATCCCTAGTTTAAGACTACCGCACACTTGTTTCATAGCTTTCAATTGAGCTGCAGAACCTACACGACTTACAGACAATCCTACATTAATAGCAGGTCGGATTCCACGATAAAACAGTTCTGTTTCCAAAAAGATTTGTCCGTCCGTAATGGAGATTACATGGACTCTTCACGTATAGTCTCTGAGGATCCTACACAGACATATGTTGGTTTCCTGCGGATTATCCATTGTATATTGAAATTCATTCAATAAATAGGTTAGGACTTTCCCGCATATAGTGAAGTAATAAGGTCAGAGATTACTCGTCTGACACGGCAATGAGTTTACCACTTTCATCGGCGAACAACCGAACCCTTGGAACCTCGACCTTCCACCATTACTGATGGGGTAAGACTATGCCTTCACCATATTCACTACAGTCACCTGTAAGAACTTAGTTGTAGATAATGATTACATTCCAATATTACCAACAGAATTGAGTACAACTGTATTTCAATATACTGTTTATGCTTCCAAAATACAAAGTTGGACGAATCTGGAAACTTTAGGAAATCTACTTTATACCACTTATTTTTATTTGTTTCTGGTTTCAAGTCTTATTTTATTAGTGGCCATGATTGGAGCTATAGTACTTACCATGCATAAGACTACTCAAGTAAAAAGACAAGATGTTTTTCAACAAAATATGATAGATTTTCAAAAGACTATCAAAAAAATACGACAATAGAAAAAGTGACAAAGATGAAAGGAAAAAATCGTTGTTTAACTGCTGGTACACCACTTATTTGTTCATTGACTAAGTTTAGAACGAATTCATAAATCATTTCAACAAAAGATTGCCAAGCATTGGGTACACAGGTTGAAGGGACCAAGTAAGGACGGGGCAGGTCTACAAGCAGGATATTGAAGAGACACCTGGGTCATATTGAACGAGCGTTATAGTGTGGGCTGATAGCTGGTCATGGGTGGCCGTGTTATTCAGAAGAAGCAGGGCGTAGCTGCTAGGGAAACGAGAGTGATATGGCGGTCTGGTGCAGGCCGAAGATGTGGCCCCACACCCCAAAGTGTGTTGTTGTCAACACATTTATCATTAACCCTGCGCAGTCAATCCCCTGGAAACAGGGCAATCAATGCTGGCAGGCCTTCTGATGTATAGTGGAATGCTGGACCCGCTTTCCAGCAGGTGCTGCTCCCCATCAATAGATCGGAGCACCCAGGACTCTTGCTACCGTCTTCCCCCGAACATAACGCAACCTGATATTGATTGTATACAAGCTATATTTCAGGTCAGGTGCAGCCAAAATAAGGGTGCGTTGTGTTCGGGGGAAGACGGTGGGAGGGGGTGATCGTGTCACTCCTTGACGGTGGGAGGGGGTGCTTGTATCACCCCTCCTAGCAAGGAGACTGGTTTACAAAAAAAAAAAAAAAAAAAAAAAAAAAAACCGGCAATCCGCTAGGAGGTGCTCTTCTCACCCCCTCCTAGTGCTAGAGCCAGCTTAAAAATAATTAAAAAAAAGATTAAAAAAAGAACTGTATTGGGGCCTCAGTTTCAGTCATAGCTACACCGGACCGGACCCCGGACTCCTGGCCTCCTGGGCCCATCCGGACCTCCGGAAAACCGGAATTTTCCGGAATATCCGGACCGGTCCGGATCCCCTATATTTTTCCCGGGGAAAAAAAAAACACGGGTACATGCTTGCATTACCTGAGTGACCGCTGGGCAGTGTGCTGTCACTGCAGTGTGCACACTGCACAGGCGTAAATGTGGCCCGATGGACCTTTTTTTTGTTTTGTTTTTTGAAAACAAATGCTCCAGTCTATTTGTGGCGAGCAGCGCGTGCTGGGAACCGGGCCCAGTGTCCCATATGTGGCCCGATAGACCACGGATAGTACACTTGATCTTGGCCTTTTGATACGACACATGATCTTAGCCAAAAGGTCGACAAAGGTATTATAGTCATGATCTTGGCTGTTTGCCGCTGGGTGCGGAAATACAGGAGGGAAAAAAAAAAAAAAAAAAGGGAAAAGAGCGCCGCGTGGAGCCTGCGGCAGGGAGGGGAGATAATAAAAAAGGAAAAAAAAGAGGGAAAAGAGCGCCACATGCAGCGCGCGGCACAAGCTGGAGATAAAAAAAAAGAAGGGAAAAAGAGCGCCCCGTGGAGCACGAGGCCAGAAAGGGAAATGACACAACCACGACAAGCAAGCTGAAGACGAAGAGCAAGACAAGGAGGACCAAAAAGATGAAGAGGAGTTAAGAGGACATGAAGGAGGAGGAGATGGAGGAGGACAAAGAAGAGGAGGAAGAAGACGTGCCCGTAACAACAAAGATCATTTGAAGTAAACAACAAGAAAAAGTGCCACGTGGAGCACGCGGGCGAGGAGGGAGAACGAGTGGACAAGTAGTAAGACGAAGAGTAAGATCAGGAGCAGGAGGATCAAGATGATGAATTAGACGACATGGAGGACGAGGAGGAAAAGAAGGGAACAGAGGAGGAAGAAGGCATGCAGCAGGAGGAGGAGGATGACGACCAAATTGACGACCGGCAGGAGGAGCACGACCATGAGAAACAAGATGATAAGTAGGAGCACGATGAAGAGGAGGAAGAGGAGGTGGAAGAGGCGGAGGAGAAGTGACATAAGCAGCTGGAGAAGCAAGACCATCACGGTGCAAAGAGGTGGAGGAGGAAGAAGGGAGGTGGAGGAGGAAGAAAAGGTGGAGGAGGAGGAAGAAGAGGAGGTGGAGGATGGGGATGAAGAGGAAGCGTGCGCGCGCGCGAGAGAGAGAGAGAGAAATCTGCTTCACCCGCTGCTCCTCGTGCTGGTCCTCGTGCTGGTGCTTGCGGTGCTCCTCGCGTGCGCCGTTGCCCTGTGTCTCCCTCCCTCGTCACGGGCGATGGCGGGCTGCATGCAAGTCCAAAGTCAAAGCGGGGGGGAACAGCCTTGCCAGACCTCCGAATTCGAAGGTTCCTCTGCAAAACGGTGGCCGCCAACACCTCCAAGGGCGCAAAAGAAAAAAGGACTACAAACCCCAAACCCCCAAAACAAATCCCGGGCGTTCCGGTTGCCGCCTAGGGCCTCCACAAATCAGGGTCCGATTTTTCTCTGGCGGCCCTGGGGGTGGAGAAGCGCCCAGAACCGCCAATAAAGCATTGCCCGTTGGCCCTGGGCCCTCCTATCCAGACCGGGATCCGGAATCTGGTACCGAACACCAACCCCGGATGCTCCGGATCCCTGTCCGGTGGTCCGGATCATAGCCATGGTTTCAGTCAGTCAAGGCCAATAAAGCATGTTTTTGTGTTACAGGTCTTGTTGTGTTGCCCCTGTAAACACCACTTCAAATCTATTTTTTCAAGGAGGATACTCAGCCCCACAAATATCGATTAAAACTTGAAATCTTGTGTTGTATGCTTTTTTTTAAGTTTTTCTTAAAAAAGAACATTTGAAAAAGATTGTCTGGGTTGGTAGTTGTTGCGATAGGTGATAGGCAACACGCTTCTGTCAACAAAGGATGTTGCTGATCTCTATTTGTCAAACCGTCAGAAACAATGAGTCACGTTTTTTTGTCCTCAGCCCATGATTCGAGAAAGTATCCGATCCCGCCCTTTTCCCCATTTCAAGGTCAACAGTTGATTTGTTGGGGCTCTTGTGACATGGTGCGAATGACAACTGTATACCTGCGTAAATCCGTCAATGACTGAACCAGTACAAAGAGCCTTCTCATTCATAATATGTCGAACATCTTTCCACATGGAATGCACTTTCCTAGACGAGGGACGCTGCAACACGGTAACAACCGTGACCGCAAGCACTAGTACAAGGCCAGTGCAGCTACGCCTCCACAAGTGGGAAAAAACGCATAATCTGTGTGTGTGTGTGTGTGTGTGTGTGTGTGTGTGTGTGTGTGTGTGTGTTGTTTTAAAAGACCCCAGATTCTCTCTCTCATTCCCTTCACAAAGCATCACAAGCCATCCATAACGAAAAAATGTAGATAGGCAATATAATAGAAAATGCAAGGTTGGCCACGTTTGTGTGGTTCAGCGCTGAGTGCCCACACAAAAGGCACCGAGGCGAACCCCTCAAAGGTCCGAAAAAACTTGGAGAGTGTGTGTGTGTGTGTGTGTGTGTGTGTGTGTGTGTGTGTGTGTGTGTGTGTGTGTGTGTGTGTGTGTGTTTGGCCCCATAGTTTGCCGAGTTTGTCGATCAACTACCGTTAACTGACGTTCACCACCTCTCTCTCTCTCTCTCTCTCTCTCTCTCTCTCTCTCTCTCATGGACACAAACCTAGTCCTCCAATAGACAACCAATTGCTGCCGCATAAGACAGGAAACGTTTATTCTTGTTCTTGCTTTGGTTCAAAACAGCAAACGTTTTTACAGCAGGCCCAAGTTCCACACGCAGAACGTGGAAAGAAAACTCAAAACAGAACCAGTCTCCTGGGGTCAGCTGCAAGAACAAAATATACGGTAACACTGACATTTCGCAGGGAGAGTGCGCACGAGTTAATGCCCATCCCAACTTTTCAAAAGGTCTGTACAAACTTACTACATGCGATTTTCATCAACTCGACTCGCTTTCCGACCTTGACAGTGACGGATCAGAGTCATCGTTGGACCCACTACTCTTCGATCGACTGGCAGATCCTGCGGGTTTTTCACCCACGCTGGAAGGCCCACACAACGCCTCAACACCATCGGCATGATCGGTTGGCCTTCCCATTCCTCGCGAATGCAGGTCATCCCCGGCAGAAACTGCACTTGAAAGCCCCCCAGCAGCCCCCTGTTGTTGCAGAAATCCCCCCTGATGCTGGGAATACCCAACCATCATTGCTGAGGATGCTTGTTGTTCGCTCACTGCGAAAGGGAGAGGCATCTGCGCCATGTCATCGGACACACCCATATTGACAGAGGAACCACGAACTGCATGGAAAATTGTTCCTTGCTGATTCTGCTGAGATTGATCTGAAGGGCTGGATGCTGCCTGCTGTGGTGGCTGCTGTTGCTGCTGCTGGAGCTGCAGATGCTGTTGTTGGAGTTGGTGCTGCTGCTGCTGCTGTTGCTGTTGCTGTTGCATAAACTGAATTGTTGACCGTTGGGCCATAGCAGAATGCACATTCTGCTGTTGACGGGCCTGCTGTGCATTTTGGGACTGAGGTTGGCCCTGCTGTTGAGTTTGCTGCTGCTGATGCTGGTGGTGCTGGGAGGATGGGTGGTGGAGAACATTAGAAGGGTTGCTCTGCTGCATTGCAGCTTGAGCATTCTGCAGAGGTGACTGTTGCATAACCATCTGATGCGGCTGTGACTGCAGTAGAGATTTCTGTTGAGCTGCAGCCATTTGTTGCTGCTGCCTCAGTGCCTGCTGCTGCTGCTGTTGTTGCTGAAAATAGAGACGCTGGTTCTGCTGCGCAAGATGCAGTTGCTGCTGCTGGGAGAGCTGCTGCTGGGAGAGCTGCTGCTGGGAGAGCTGCTGCTGGGAAATCTGCTGCTGCTGCTGCAGCTGAGACAGATGCTGCTGCTGCTGCTGAGAGAGCTGCTCTTGCTGAGAGAACTGATGCTGGTGAGAAAGTTGCTGATGCTGTTGACTAATCTGTTGGTGCTGCTGAGCAAACTGCTGCAATGGGAATGACGATTCCTGCTTTTGCTGAGATAGAGCCTGCTGCTGCTGCTGGGAAAGCACCTGCTGTTGTTGCTGCAGCTGCTGCTGGGAAAGATTCTGCTGGTGCTGTTGCTGTTGCTGCTGATGTTGCCGTGGAATTGCCTGTTGGTGCTGGTGCTGGTGCTGCTGTGCAAACGCCTGATGTTGCATCTGCTGCTGCTGCTGCTGCTGCTGCTGCTGTTGCTGCTGTTGCTGCTGCTGTTGCTGCTGTTGCTGCTGTTGTTGCTGAGATTCTTGTTGCTGTTGCTGTTGCTGCTGCTGCTGCTGCAGCTGTTGTTGTTGTTGTTGTTGTTGCTGCTGCTGTTGCTGTTGTTGCTGCTGCTGCTGCTGCTGCTGTTGCTGCTTCTGCTGCTGCTGCTCCTGCAACGTCAAAGTCTGATTTTGGGCAGATTGCTGCTTTTGCTGCTGCAGTTGTGCCTGCTGCTGCTGTGGCGGCATTGGATGCTGTTGAAAGGGTAGTGCAGCATGCTGCATGGGCACAGTGGTACCCTGTAGACTCGGGTTCTGGCGATGTGGTGGTGGTTGCAGCTGCACATGCATTTGTGCCTGTTGTTGGACTGATGGCATTGTCTGCTGCTGTGATGAATATGGATGCTGCTGCCGCTGTTGCTGCAGAGAGACCTGTGGCTGAGGTTGCGATTGAACACCAGGCATCGGCTGACCTTGAGGCATTATCCCTGTGGGAGGTGCTGACTGCAACAAACATCCAATAAGAATATAGAGTCAGTCCCAGGCTTCCCTGCATTACGGCCCCGGGACCGCTGACAGCATTGATAATCTTCATTTTTGAAAGGATTGATGCATGAAGTAGATGCCAGGATGGGGAATGAAAAAAAGATACTGGGAGGAAGGTGACTAGAAACCTGCCATGATGACTGCAGTACTTGTGAAGTTGTGAGACATAAGCCTCAACTGTACTTGCGATCATGGTTCTCAAGGGGTTAATTGTGCACAAGGTTGGAAGGGGGGTAGGGGGGTAAGGGGGTAGGGGTTTGGGAGCTTGCCAACATCCACCTGTTATTTTACACTTCTTACAAAGTTCGGGCATATCTGAGTCCCCATGGTGAGGGTAATTTTACTAATTTATTTATTAATTTATTTATTTATTCATTTATTAATTTTTATTCATTTATTTATTTATTTATTAAATTTTATTTATTTATTTATTTATTGTACTTACTACTTCGGGAGATCCGTTGAAATTGGAGCGATACAGAGAAGATTAGAATGGCCGCTGCGGGAAGGATGAAATGCATAATGGAGAAATGGTCCAAAAAAAAAAAAAAAAAAAAAAAATTTTTTGGTGGATGAAAATTGAGGGGGATGCTCGAGGGTTTGCTACACAAAAAAAAAGGATTCAAAGCAGAGAGAAGTGGTGCAGGCTCGGCACTGCTTTTCCCGCCAAAGGAACCACTTGGGCCCAGTCTCAGCTGTCCCTTATCCCGTGAACCATCACCGGCTTTTCGTGACCTGTACTGCCTCTCATTATCTCTCATATCAAGATATCAACCCCTCTCGTACCACCCGATGCTATGTTTGTGAGCACATAGCCGGCCATGCTCGCATGGTGCTGGATGCATCCACTTCTGGTGCCTTGGCTGGAGGCAAGTGCACCCTTCTACCCCGGATGGCCGGGCCAGCGCCAAGGCAGCACCCCGGACGTACCAACGCACTGCCACCTGGCCTCATGAAAATCTGACCATCTTAACCGAAGGATGCATTACATCCGCTTCGCAGATGATTTTCTAGTAGCAATCTCTGGTCCACGATCAGAAGCAGTGAAACTGAGATCTGAATTGGAATCGTTCCTTAGAGACAAACTCCAATTAACACCGAGTATGGACAAAACCCATTTGTCAGTTGCCAATATCAAAAGATCCATGATCTTGATGGCTGACATTTTCAATCGGTTGGCTTAGGACTGACTTCATCTCAACATGTTCGTGGGTCGGTATCCTGCCAGCTGGTGAGGGCACGTTCGAGGCCGTGCAATGCCTCCTACATACATTTCCCAGGCGTCGTCTGGGCAGCAGATTGCTCACAGTTCATTCTCGACAATTTCTCGGATCATCACATCACCTTACTGGATCCTCCAGCATGGTTGTTCCGCAAATTTTTATCTTCAGGCATTGCAGTCATATTACGCAGTGATCTGAGATTATCGTACATCATGGCTACCGCGGACCCGGGCACTGAACCCATCCAGACCTGGTCAACCAGGCGGTCGGAATAGGATCCAGATGTCCACACTTCCAGACCGTTCCAGACCATCCGGACACAGCCCGGATTGTTCCGCATGGTTTGGATGGGGATGTCCGGATTGGTCGGGATCTTTGAGAGAGAAGAAAAAGAAAAANCCTGGCAAGATACCTTTTCACAATGCTTTACTTTTACAAGGCCCGTGCTGCTCTATTTTTACAAGGCCTGAGGCCTATATCGGGTAAAGGCCCTTTTAAAGGCCCAAAGATCCTTCTACGTAGCATTCCCAGCAACCGAGCAGTCCTGGACACAATTAGACATCTTCTAAGGTAAACAGGAGCTCTTTTTACTTTTTCTTTCTACAGTTTAGTCCTCTGAATGAAAATATGCCGCCTCATTTCCCTCCGCCTGACCGGGGACAGAAAAAATTGAATACATATTAAGTATTATTGACTAATTAAAGAGTAAGAAACCATACTTCAAAAGAAAAAAAAAGAAACCAGTTTCAAAACACACAAACCGTAGGCACTCGTATCCACTAACCGCTAGCTAGTCCCCTTGTACACAACTTGACACTTGCATCTAGTGACCGCTACCTAGTTCCCTTGTACATGCCTCGGCCGGCCAATGGACAACGGCCTATTGTTGAAAATAAAGGGGGCTGCAAGTAAACAAGAGTCTTATACCACCAGTACACCCGGGCCTGGCGGAGCGCACTGCTTGTCAAGCTTTGCCTAGTTATTTCATTCAGCTGATTCCATCATCAAGGAATCGACCTCGGGTCTGTTTATCAACAATTACATGGCTGTACACATTCATGAAGATGGGCTGGGCGCTCGGTACATTTACGAGAAGCTTCCAGACTCCCAGGCACCAGGCACACACAGGCCGCCGCAAAATCCTGGCCACTTAGATCAACAGAAACTCAGTTGTTCGAGGAGGCAACCTGAGGCAGGGCAGATCGAGTCAACGCGACAAAGAGCTTGCTCCGCCTCCAGTTTATTTGCACATTCATTTGGTCTGTGCAAGTTGATGCTGGAGCTCGTGTACTGGAGGAGATCAGCTTGCACCAGGCAGACGTAGAGATAGGGAGGCCACTACCTCCATAGCTGTGGAGTGAGAGGGGACATGGACAGATTGATGCTTACCTGGAGTCTTTACGCTGACATTCTTCATCGTCGTTGACTTTGTCACCGTTCGCGGTATGCTGCGCTGTCATTATCAAGCTCGACTCCGCTTCAGTACATTAGACAGGTGCTACACTTCATTTGTGTTGATGTCATTGCTGCTGAGTTGAGTGGCGTTCGTAGGAACTAGTGCTTGGTGAGGGAGTGCTTCGAGGGAGAGAAGAGGTTAGTGGATAAGACTGGCATGAGAGAGCAGCAGCGTTGGCGTGAGAGAGCAGCAGCGTCGGACACCGGTCCTGGAAAGATACTCGATGGCGAGAGAGAGGGAAGGAGATTGGAGAGGAAGAACCCGGAATTGCAGACGGGGAAGAATGGCTTTGCAACCTATTCGCGAAACTGTTTTCATTCATTCTCTCCTCCACCATGTTCTTGTCAGCTGGGTCTCGTGTGTCTGAGTTCGTGCGTGCCGTGTGTTTATGGGAGAGGTCAGCATCGAGAGTTGGGTTCACTGCGGGGCTTTTGAAAAGCAAGGGAAACTTTTAAGCAGCACTTATGCATGTGTGTATCGCACGTGAACATGCCGCTTGAAAGCCTTCTGGAACGCTTTTCTTCTTCTTTTATTTTTTGCTTCATTTCCTCCCTCTCCTAGCATTCGAAAAACTTTACAGATACATAGTCCTGTCTCTTATACACATCTAGATGTGTATAAGAGACAGGGGAAGGGGGGTTCGAAACATGGGGGAGGGAGGTTCAAAACAAGGGGGGAAGAGGTTCGAAAGAAGGGCCAGGGAGGACCGGAAGATGGGGAAAGGACGTTCGGAAGAAGGGGGCGGAAATTCGGAAGAAAGGGGAGAGAGGTTTGGAACAAGGCGGAGGGAGGTTCAAAAAAATGGGGGTGGAAGGTTCCGAAGAAGGGGGAGGGAGGTTCAGAAGAAGGGGGAGGTAGGTCCGGGACAAGGAGGAGAGAGGTTTGGAAGAAGGGTAGGGAGGTTCGGTACAAACCGTACAACTCTGGGAGTGGAAGGTTCAAAAGAAGGGGGAGCGAGATCCGGAACAAAGGAGGAGGGAGGATCGGAAGAAGGGGAGGGAGGTTTGGAACGACTCTGGGAGGGGAAGGTTCAAAAGAACGGGGAGCGAGGTCCGGAACAAAGGAGGAGGGAGGATCGGAAGAAGGGGAGGGAGGTTCGGAAGAAGGGGAAGGTAGGTTCGGAACAACGGGGGCAGAGGTTTAGAACAAGGGGGAGGGAGGTGAACTTCCATCTTATCCCTCCCACATCTTTCGACCTCCCTCCCCCTTTTTCCAAACCTCCCTCCCCCTCCTTCAGAACCTCCCTCCCCCTTTTTCCAAACCTCCCTTCCCCTTGTTCCAAGCCTATTAAAAGTTCATAATAGAATTAAAAATTCGAAAACGAAACAAAACAATCCATGACTCTACGTTCATAATAGAATGAAAAGTTGAACGACAAAGCTGCGAAGCGAACGGAAAGCATCGAGCAAAAAAACTGAAAAGAGGCTTCAACTAAATCAAATAATAGCTATGTGCGATTGAAAAAGAACTAATAGGGAGGTCCGGAACAAGGAGGAGGGAGGTTTGGAAGAAGGGGGAGGGCGGTTTGGAGTAAGGGGAGAGAAAACGATCGGCATTCATGATAGAAGAGGGAGGTTCGGAACAGGAGGGAGGTCCAGGACAAGGGAAGGGAATACGATCAACGTTCATGAACGTTGGTCGTATTCCCTCCCCTTGCTCCTAACCTCCCTCTCCCTTCTTCCAAACCTCCCTCCTCCTTGCTCCAAACCTCCCTTCACTGATCTTCCAAGCGTATTAGAAGTTCATAATAGAGTGAAAAGTTTGAAATTTGAAATCTGAATGCGATTTACAATTCTATGTTCCGATAGCATGAAACATTCAACAACAAAGCAGTGAAATCAACAGAAAGCATCGGTGACAAGCTGCGCCAATGAAGCTCTCTCTCTCTCTCTCTCTCTCTCTCTCTCTCTCTCTCTCTCTCTCTCTCTCTCTCTCTCTCTCTCTCTCTCGTGCGTGCGTGCGTGTGCGCGCCAATCAACAATGGTGACGAGGGCTCTCTCCCCCTCTCCCTGTGTGTGTGTGTGTGAAAGCGCGTGTGTGGCCATTGTGCCTGAACTTGGGCAGGTGGGCAGAAAAGCATGTCGTATCACCTCGACCTGCCTTGTCTTCCCAATCTCCCAGGGGGAAAGCGCGGTGTAGTGCTTCAAGCGGCGTTTTGCCCTCTCATGCTGTTCCTCCGCTCAGAGGGGGAATGAAGCGCGTGTGTGGCCACTGTGCCTGGACGTCAAATCAAAAGGGCAGGTGGGCGGAAAAGCGTGTCGTATTTGCCTCGACCTGCCCTTTCTTCCCAATCTCCCAGGGGAAAAGCGTGGTGTAGTGCCTCAAGCGGCGCTTTGCCCTCTCATGCTGTTCCTCCGCCCAGAGGGGGAATGAAGCGGAGGAGGAGGAGCTGAGGGTGAGGAAGAAGACCTCTATGGCTATGGATGAACAG